AAACAATATGTAAACATCTAAGGAATATGAGAAAACTCCATAAAGAAGGTGTTTGGGTGCCTCACAAACTCTCCGATGATCATTGTTTTCAACGTGTGAACATTGTTTCCTCTATTCTAGCGTGTAATGCGCGTGAATCATCTTTGGACAGAATTGTCGCCGGTGATGAAAAATGGATTCTCTCTGTGAATATTAAATGCCAAAAACAATGGCTCAGTTTTACACAAAAACCACTTCCAACCCCAAAATCTGGACTCCATCCAAAGAAAGTGATGCTTTGCAATTGGTGAGACATCAGAAGAGTAATTCGTTTCAAACTCCTCAATCCACAGCAGCAAACTGTCAATGCGGAGATCTATAGTCAGCAACTGGAATGTTTAAATCAAGCCCTTCATCAGAAATGGTCTTCACTTGTCAATTGGAAAGGTTTTCTTCTTCTCCATGACAATGCACGTCCACATGTGGCACATTTGACGCAACACAAGATTATGGAGTTTGATTGGGAAGTTCTCCCCCATCCACCATATTCTCCAGATGTGGCACCATCAGATTACCATCTTTTTCGTTCACTGCAACACCATCTTAATGGAAAAACATATGCAAATGTGGAAGGTGTTAAAGGGAACATCAACATGTTTTTTGCTTTAAACCCAAGAGATTTCCTTACTTAGGGCATTAACAACCTGATTGTAAGATGAAGCATCATCGATAAGAATGGAGTCTTTCATTTAATAAGTGTCTTATTTTGATATATAAGTTGTTCGAGTTTTTTTCATAAACAAAGACTAATTTCTTGACAACCTAATATATATATATCTTCTTCAAAACATTCATATCTTGGTGCTACAAAAACTACTTTACCATTTACTGACAGTGTATGATTTTGTGTAAGATGTTACCATCATAAAGCTCTTTAGTCAATATTTGCATACAAGTCTTTACTAAGAGACTGATATGATCTTGCTTTGGTCATCAAAACAAACAAAAGTATGCAAGAATCATAAAGGAAAACATTATTCTAAGACATACATTCTCAACCCGAGAGGATCATTAAATCCTTTCTACTCTAATAAAGTCCTTTTAGAATCTGACCTAATCATCCCATCCTAAAGGCCTAAACTTTGTTTTTTGTTGTTTTATTTTATTAATTTTTAATACATGTAAGAAACATCCCAACTGTTTCTCACTGTATCGTGACATCAACATTATGCTTCATGAAACTGATGGTGGATGGCATTCTCCACATATAAGGTAATGAACAGATTATATATTTGGTGAAAACACTAGAAATTGGACTATATATCTTAAAATGTACATAAAACTTAAGTGTGATCTTAAGCACCTATCCAAGGTTTTTGGCAGATCTCCAGATAAGAACCTGTGTTCTAAAATCCTCAATTTCTTTTGATGCTGATTTCTGTGAAACATATACTATGATTAGGTGGTTATCAGAAAAGAGTGGCAGTGATTGGATGGATATCAGAGACTACTATTTGTTTGATTGGTTGGTATGAAGTAGAACTTACAAACATTTTTTATTCTTTATTAGACAACAAAAGGAAGAATATTTGATGCAAGGAAAACATTTCAGGTAAGCAATTAGTTCTGGTTTTCCTTTGTAATAATATCTGAAATTATAGGTTTTGCTGTAGGTGTATAAAATTAATACAATGTGTATTATGTTTTTGTATTTTTCTATGGAAAAAAAAGAAAATTTAGGTTTTTTTTTCGTTTCTTAACTTTTAACTTGTACAATGTATACTTGCATTACAGAAATACAATTTTCTAAGTACTTATATATTGTTAATTAAAACAAAAGCTACCAATGAATTTCTTAGCTCTGTTTTTCATTTCTCATGTTTTCATAAATTTGAAATGTGACTTTGACAAGAGGATACCCATTTAGCCTGGCTTTACATGATAAGAGGATGGCTGGCCAGACTAACCAGGCCTCCTCTTGCCAGGCTAACCTGGCAAGAGAATGTCGTATTAGCCTGGAAAGATAAAGCCTGGTTATTCCAGCAAGACATGTCTTTAGGATTTTAAAACTTTTTGCTATTTCCTAACTAGCATTGAGAGGTTGACTTATTGATTCCATTTATGTATATGAATGTGTTACTAACTTTTTTCAAATACCATATTTTTCGGTGTATAAGATGCACCGGAATATAAGACGCACCAGAATATAAGACGCACCCTTATTTTGAAGACAAAGTTTTGG